TTTTCATACTTAACATTGCAGCATGCTCTTGGCCGTTGCGATTTGCATTCGGATGCTTGACAACCAGTTCATATTTCTGACGGTTGCACAGTCCTGCAATCCCCCTTTTGCGACCTTCTGACAAGCAAAGTCAATGGGGAAGCCAGATTTGCTTAACAGCTGTCTGTCTAACTTAAACAACTGCAGTGGTTCGCTTAACAAACAGGGCAAGGAGACTCTTAAAACGGGGCAAAACTCTCTTAACAATTTTCTCATTTCGCAAGCTAAATTTGGGGCTTCATTATGGTCATAATTTGAGGACTACCTGCATTCTTTTTATTGTTGGGGCAATATGCTGACTCTATAAACTGCTTAGAGAGGGCTGTGAAGCACTATGAAGTGGTATTTAAGTCTATTGTTATTGACAGAGTCTTGCAAGAATGAATTCTGCCCCACCCCTTCCTTTACAGCCTGAGAAACTAGGGAGGGTGTTTCCTTTTCCTTGTCCACTATCTTGTTGCTGGCTCTGCTGTTTCTTATCTGATTGCATCCTTAACACAGTATCCCTCCACCCATTCTCCCAAGGCCTCTCCCACATACCATTACACTACACTGAGTTTTAAAAGTTGCCCAGCATTTCTTGCCCCGAAACTTGGGGTATTAGTGAATGTCAAATGCAGGCAGTGTTGCGAAATGGGATTTAAGGGAGGCCCTGGGAAAGATAGAAAGATAAACTGATTAAACAACTTTGCTTTTTTGTTTATGTCCAATATATCTGACACACTTCTTAGCCTGAGCAGCTTACATAACAAGACAGTCCTCTTGCTAATATACAGGTAGTCCTTGACTTACAACAGTTCATTTAGTAGTCGTTCAAAGTTATAATCGGGTGGGCTTCAAAAATTTTAGCAACAGATTCTCTTCCTGGTTGCTGGGTGGGCGTGACCCTATTGGGCATGGCTTAGTCGGCCTCCTGCATTGTGTTGATGGGGAGATCGATGGTGTTTTTGCCCTCCCTGGGCTCCGGAGGTTTTCTTTGAGCCTCCAGCAGGGCGAAAGTGGCCTCCCCAGGTTCTGGAGGCTCTCTGGAAGCCAGAAATAGGCACATTTTTCGCCCTCTCTGAGCCTCTGCACGTGCCCTGCACTTACCTGCATCCAAAATGGGCCGCGTGGGGATTCCTGGGAGGGGAGGGGTGGGCGGGGCCATCCAGGAGTGGGATTTGGGGGTTCTAATTGCACAGAATCTTAGCTACGGGCTCTCCTGAACCCCTGTGAACCCCTAGCAGCCCAGCCCTGGTTATAATGGCACTGAAAAAAGTTACTTATGACCATTTTTCACACTTAAAGCCATTGCAGCAACCCCATGCTCACGTGATCAAATTTTAGATGCCTGGCAACTGACTCCTATTTATGATACTTGCAGCATCCCGGGGTCATGTGATTCCCCTTTTGTGACCTTCTCACAAACAAAGTCAATGGGGATGTCAGGTTCACTTAACAACTGAGTTTCTAACTTAACAACTGCAGTGATTCACATGCCAACCATGTCAAGAAAGGTCGCAAAATGGAGCAAAACTCACTTAACAAACGTCTCAGCAATAGAAATTTTGGGCTCAATTGCAGTTGTAAGTCGAGGACTACCTGTAAAGGTGTCAGAAGACATAACATAGAAGGAAAGGGACTGTGGAGGGAAGAGGAAAGTTTGGGCATTCTGGGCCCCCAGTGCTAATCTCTCTCAAGACAAGTGCTAACTGCTCCATATTCTCCAGCATAGCATCTTAGAATTGTACCATGCTGTCATCCAGAGTTACAAAATTGTATTGTGTAGATTATGGATGGTGTTGCCTGGAGTTCTCACTGCACAATTCTTGCTTTCCACCCTCCCCACCTCCTGTTCTATATAACCCAAAGGCAAATGCTGTTTTAGGGAGGAAACAACTATTCTATCCCTCTACTGGATTCCTTCCTCTTGAAGGCACAGCCCCTTCCAGCGCTTGTGGTTAACACAGTTTGTGACTAGGATTAGTCAAAGCTGTTTGAAATAGTTCACAATTAACAAATGTTTATTGAGAATATGTGCATAGGTGCTTGATAAGGAAAATAGAAATAGGAGGATCGTAGGCTGGGTTTTGCTAAACTGCACAGTTTATTAGTTTAGTTTACTTAATTGTCACTGCACCTCATACAATGAAATTAAATACTATCTTCAGTGTATATTATGACTATGAAAATAAACACAAACACAGGTCCTTCACATTCTATGCAATTGAATTGGAAAGCCCTGATATTGCATTAATATTGCACTATGTATTAGAATTCAATATAGTTACCGCTCTGGCATAGAACCTGTTTTTCAGCCTATTTGTCCTTGTTTTTATTATCCTGTACCGTCAAAAAAAGGGTGCCTAGGATGAGATTTTCCCATTATTCACAGAAGTTACTTACCTTCCCTGCAGGACTCCATACCGTGATCTGAATTTTTGAGATATGGGTAGTCCTTGACTTAAAATCATCTGCTTAACAACATTCAAAGCTACAACATGGTCTGAAAAATTGACTTATGACCGGTACTCACACTTACAACTATTGCAGCATCCCCACGGTCAGATGATCGAAATTCAGGTGCTTGGCAATTGGCATGTGTCTGTCATGGTTACGGCATCCTGGAGTCATGTGATCGCCATTCAGTACCTTCCCAGCCAGTTTGCGACAAGCAAAGTCAACGGGTGGAGAGCCAGATTTGCTTAATGATCATATGATTCAGTTAATTGAGTTTAAACAACCATGGCAAAAAAGATTGTAAAATTTGGTGTGACTCACTTAACAGCCCCTGGTCTCAATTCCGGTCATAAGTCAAGCAGTACCTGTATATAGTTTTCATGCAAGCAGGAAAAACAACTGAAAGTTGTATAAGTTTTCTAAACTGGGGGAGGGGATGTCCCCAAACTTTTTTTGATCACCTTATCCTGAATATTAAAGGATTTTATTTGACACCCCAAATATGCTAGGTGTATTTGTTTAGAAATTATACAGTATAACCGTACAATGCTACTAAGAGATTACCTACATTCTAAAATATCTCTTGGATATTTTGTGTCTCCTGTTATAAGTAAAGCATAATTTCTTTTACTATTTTTGAAAATTAAATAATAAATATAAATAGACCATTTATATTTCCCCCCACACTCCAGTTAATTGCTTTATGATTCCCTTGAGACGTGTCCCCCTCTTTCTGAGTACGATTGTCCTAAATCCAACAATTCCAAGGGAAATCCACTGAGAGCAAATTCGGAAGTAGCCAAGTGAGCTCCCTAAAAGAAATGATGCTGTGAAATCAATCAAACCCTGATCTAATGTACACTAGCTTGATACCTGTGCTTTGCTACGAAATTATGTGATCCAGCATCCAGCATCCACCGATATTCATCTGGCTAGCGTCCTGTCAGTATGTATGAGACTTGAGGGCTGTTTGAAAACTGAAGCAGTATTTGCTGTGTGAGCAAGAAGGAAACAGCAAGGAGCCTGGGCGTGGCTTAGCTCAACTGTTTTGTACTAATGCTGGTTGCTGCTGTGAAACTGAAACTCCTCTCCTCTGCTTGTGTTTTGCATTTGGAACAGATTTTTTTTCAGGTGGGGAGGGGGAGTAGAACTCTTTAGCATCAGAATGTGTTAATAATAATATACAAAATACTAATGCTGTGATGGTCATTTTGAAAAAATCCTTTCTTAGTGAGTACCTAGAAGCCAAGAGGAACCTATGTGCCAAATTTCAAGTTTGTAGGTTTTACAGTTCTGGAGATTTTGTGATGATGCATGAATGGTATTTCACTTTTATATATATAGATTTAAAATGATAATAAAGTTCTATTCTATTTTATTCTATTCTGTTCTAAAGTGGTTACAAATAACGGTTTGGAAGTGTTGTCAATGCTTCCCTCTTTAATAGCCTACCTCCCTATGTTTCTGGATCTTGCTTTAATAGGCCAGTGTTTGACTGACACCATCTCTCTCTCTCTCCCCCCCCCTCCCTTCCTTCCTTCCTTTCCTTCCTTCTTTGAGATTCCTTTCATCTTAACAAATGATCCTGAGTGGCAAACCAAATTAAAAATAATATTAAACCCAATTTGAAAAACACTGACATTAAAAGACCTTGCAGCCAAATATTGCTGCCTCACTGAAACTTTCTGATATTTTAGAATTACTTTTCATGCTCTCCATTGCCTTCTTCCCCTAGAAAAGGAAGTAAAGAGTAAAAGGGCAGAACATAGGCTCCTACACAGATCACTGTATTCTTAGACAGAAGATGCGAAGTCCGGAATTGAGTTCTGGCAGGGTTTCTACTTGCTATTTTCATGCACCATTCGCATATTCCAAACTCCAGGGTTGGAGCTGTTTCTCTATTCTTGATGTCCTCTTGTTTCTCTTATGCCCATTTGATTTTGCCTGGGAAAAGGAAGAGAACAAGTCAACAGTACTGGGTCTGTTTTATTCCATTGTGTATTTCTCGCTTCTATGTCTTTTTCTGTTGGTACAATTGTGCTGCAGGCTTCTGAGTGTCACTTAAAAACTTCATTCGTGTGTTTGTTTGTTCACTCATTCATTCATCCATCCATTCGCCATTTTTCTGTTTTTTATATGATTTTTATTGAAACTTAAAAAGACAGCAAAAAATCCTAATCCAAATTAATATAAAATACAGAGGAAAAAAGAAAAAGCAAGCAAGCAAAAAGGGCCAGAATATTTAAGAACAAGGGGAGGAAAAGATACAAAGAAGTGGCTTCTTATATTCTCCACAGTGGTTTTAGGAACAATTATATTTTAACACATCTCTAAAGTTATATAATAATACTCTATTTTCTATCATCTGTCTAATCTAATGATGAAAGACACACAACTTCATTTTTCTTTTCATTTTTACGCAAAAAATCCTTAAAGAAGTTGATTGATATGGATTGTGTTTTTTCTCTAATGAAAGAAATTAATTTAGCTCTTTCTCTCTCTCTTGCTCTGGAAAATTACAGTGACTCTCATCCAGGGAGACATCAGCAATCTAGAGGATGTGAAGCCAGCAGTCAAAGGCGCCCATGTGGTCATTCACACGGCCGGTCTGGTGGATGTCTGGGGCAGAGTCCAACCAGAAAAGATAATGGCAGTTAATGTGCAAGGTAATTTTTGGTGGGAAAACCTTTGAATGTCTGACCAGTTTCTCTAGACAGCCCAAATCAGATCAAGATGCCCCTTCTGAGTTTGTGGAATTTGTCCCAGCAAGAAGGGTGTGGCAGGTGCACAAAATTAATTGCATGAGGAAAAAATGTTTTTGTCACTGAATCTGTTTGCCTTAGGGAGGTGGATGGAAGTTTGTCATCCTTGCATCCATTCTGTGGAATGGAACCTTCAACACTGTGCTTTTTTTGAGGCTATGAGGAAGATTCCACTCCACGGAGTGAATAGGAGCAGATGAAGTCCTGTTTATATTTAGATGTTATTTCCTATATGTTGGATCACTTATTTATTTATTTTATTTCAAGTATTAGATTATAGGTATAAGTATAAACATGGTTATGAATACATGAAATGGATACGAATAAAAAGAAACATTAGGACAGGGACGGTAGGCACATTGGTGCACTTATGCACACCCCCTAACTTACTCCATCTGTCACATCAAACATGTCTAAATTAATAGAAACGTCTGGAGGAACTTGGGTGTATATTCCAAGGCTTAGGCCAAGGTTGATACTTTTTATTTGGTCCCAGCTTTTAAAAATAAATAGAACTGGCTTCCCAAAAATGTGTTGGCTTTTTATGATTTATCTCTTTCATCTGTGGCCAGAAGGGGTGTAGAATGGCAGGGCAGCACGAATGAATCTAAATGAATCATCTGTAGTTTTTCTGAGCCATCTGTTTGCAATTTTTCTGAACCCAGAATACACTTCTTAGTGTAACACTAAGCTAAGAAAGGAATTCTTTGGTTCAGAATCCTGAATTAGAACAACAGAAATTAGACTATTTGCTACATTCTTGATAGCATAGCACTCTTACTTTTAAAGTCTACTGGTAAATCTGTCTATCAAAATATTTAGCCCATTCAGTAACCAAAGTTCCCTGAGTGGTTTATAATAAAACTAGCCAAATGATACAATTTGAATATAAGCCTATGTACACAATAAAATCAAATAAAATGATGGATGAAAATTAGGCCACGGTAAATCTAAAACAGTATAAATTAAAGTACAATTAAAGACAATTCAAAAGCCTGAAAAATAGAAAAGTGCTCAGCTGCTAAAGTGGCTGCCAGATGGGCCTCTCTCATAAATCGCACATCAGAAAAAGTTGTCTCCCTTTTTGATCACCAGGAAGAAATAGGCAAATCAAGTAAAATTCTAATTAGAACCAGAGATGATACCTTGAATACTGGAAGAATGGAGAAAGATAAAAGGACAATCTTTTTTTTCCTCCTGAATTTTATACAACATCTAATTCAACATTGGAATTGGCTGCCTTGAGATGGAGTGTTGGTGATCAGCTAGATTAGCTTCCTAAGAAGGCTGGAGCAATTTATGGAGATCAGATAGATCAGTGGCTCCTCAATGGGACTGCCCCTGAAGACCCTCTGCTGGGAGATGGATGCCTTTTGCAATTGTCTCTCCCCTGGGAGAACAGACTTCTGGAGTCGATGTGCCAGAGAACCAACCAATGGGGCACTGCTTATTTCCTTAAAACCTTGAATATGGAGACATGACATAATATAACATCCATGGCTTTCTAGCCTGAGAAATGGTGGGGAAGTGGACTGAAACCACTATTCTCATAGATACTTTGAAATCTATGGGATTTGAAGGTGGATTTTCACTTGGGTATATACAGGAAGTCCTTGACTTACGACCACAATTGAGCCCAACAGTTCTGTTGCTAAGTGAGGCAGTTGCCAAGTGAGTTTTAACCCCATTTTATGACTTTTCTTGCTACAGTTATTAAGTTAGTAACAATGTTGTTAAGTAAATCTGGCTTCCCCATTGACTTTGCTTGTCAGAAGGTTGCAAAAGGAGGTCACATGACCCTGAGGAACTGCAACTGTCATAAATGGGAGTCAGCTGCCAAGCATCTGAATTTTGATCTAGTAACCATGGCAATGGTGCAACGGTTGTAACTGAAAAATGGTCATGTCACTTTTTCCAGTGCTGTTAGAACTTTAAATGGTCACTAAATGAACTGTTGTTAAGTTGAGGACTACCCGTAAGCTTCACAAGAGCTAGTTGATGCAATGTTAAAGGCATAAGGCTAGACATTAGGAGACTGTGAGTCCTAGTTCTGACTAGATTTGGGGGTCTTTGAGCCAGTCATTCTCTTTCAGCCCTAGGAAGGAAGCAATGGTGAGCCACTTCTGAAACCCTCCGAAGAAAACTTCAGGGATTTTATCCAGGCAGTCACTAGGAATCAGTACTGACTTGAAGGCACACTGCACACCCAAACTGCTTCTCACTGAATGGAAAGCAACAAAGCTGCCTGTTAAACATTGTGAATGTTTATAGGATGGGATTGATGTGATAGCTATCTGAAATGGATAGATATGCTGCCAGGGGAATTATGGGGATTAATCCACTCCTCTTAACATTTGTGAAGTTGAGAAACATAGGTTTAAGTCACTTCAGGTGGGGATATAGCTGGACCAGCTGTGAAAATCCAGTCAGTCCCTAGAAGGCAGCAAAGAGTTGGATTTTTCTGCATTACCCCGCTGCCACCTAGTGTTTACCTGTATTATTGCAACCTTGATAATAGTATCCAATTGATAGTACATTTTTAAGAGGCTGTGTCTTCTGTGGCAGCCAATTTGGAAACATGCAAGCCCTTTTTGGCAGCCATTTAAGAAGAGTCCTCTTTCCATCTTCTCAAAATTCCCAAGATCCTCAGATCTGCTAATTATAGCATACGCATACAACTTTTTACATTCCCAAACTGTTATCTGGGATTAAAGCTTCCATCCCTGCTTTCTCCAAAATACATCAGTTGTCCAAGTTGCAGAATCTTTCCATATGGAAACATTTGATGCATAATCTCGCCCCCATTTTGAAATGGTCCAAATCATACTTTCACATCTCTTCTAGCACTTTCTGGTTGAGGAAGATAATTCCATTTTCTGATTCAGCTGCTACTTTTTAAAAAAATAAATAAAGTTTTTGATTCCACCAAGAGAAGGAATGGGTTTTTAAAAAGGGTTTCATGACCCTGGGTAGGGTGATTTTTATGCATGTGATGTTAGGCAAGAAAATGGAAGAAATAATTCTCTTGAAATAATTCAATTTGCTGTTATTACAAAAAAAATTGGATGATGATGATGATAGCATGATAGCATCCATGTAGAATGGAATAAACAACCAGAATGGGTCATTGAATGTGATGAGAAAGAAAAATGAGATGAAAGCTATTGATGTTTATGCAACAAATATGATCAACATTTTCAAAAACAAAATATTTACTCTTCTGGCTTACAGGGCCTAAAAGAACTATAGTCTGTAACTGGATATTTTGCTGAACTGCTCTGTGAGAACAGAAGTGTCTTCTTCAGTTCCCTGGGTGCCAGATAGGACCGGGAAGGGTCTTCTAGGAAGCCCAAGAATCAGAGCTGATGAAAATCTGGTGGAGGAGAAGGGCAGAAGCTTTGAGTCTAGCCTCTCTCACCCAAAAAATATTGTTAAAATTATAATTCTTGTTCCAAATTGGTGCACAAGGTATAACCATATTAGTTATATTCAGGGTTGATACAAATTTTAAATTGTACAGGGTGGGATGAGGAGGGACAGGATGGGATGGAACAGAACAGAACAAAAAATGGAATGGAATGGAACGAAACAAAACAAAACAGAATAGAATAGAATTTGCATTTGAAATATATCTTCTAGTTTTGGATTATTTTGCTTGATTTTATTTTTAACGTTCTCCTGACCTCAAACAAAGTTGCTCGTCTCTCCACCCAGGCCCCAGCTGGAATGCCACAGATTTCCGCCCTCACCTTTTGTTGTGTGCCAGCCTTGCCTATTTTTCTGGCCTTTCTGGAGCTAATTTAGTTTGGCTACAGAGACCCAATATAATGATCCTGCTGAGAATTTGGGAGAAGCTTCAGGGGGCTTCATTGTGCTTTTAAAGATTGAAGAGTCATTTTGCTTTTAAAGATTGTGCTTAGGATGAGTCAGGAGCAAGAATAACAAAATCCACATATGAGGCATCTTTATACTTTTGTTTGCATGATTAATGTCCCAGGGTGGATCAAACGAGGAAAGAAAAGGGTGATCCGAGGCATTTTGTTGTTTTCTGTTTAGACTTTTGCAACAATAGTCTGGAATCAACTAACAGGCTCAGTTATCAGGATGACAAATAGAATAGATTATTTTAAAAAGAAACAACCTCTTGAGAGGTAGAATTGAGAGGTGCTTAGAGGAGAAATGCTCTGCTGTTTTATTTATTATGTTTTAAACACACACATTTTTCTTGTTTTCACAATGATCCTGTGAGGTAGTAGGATCACAGCTTGGCTGTTCAGAGTGAATTTCCATCAGACTTTCCCTGAGTTCTAGTTTTAAATCTCAGCAAATTCCTTCTTCCAATCCATTAGTTTTAAAGATTGGGAATTGAAATCCATACAATTTATAGAGCTTATGTAGGAAAATGATATTAAAATGTGGCTTAGGCTCCCCTAAGATCCTGCCAGGAGGCCTTGAAGTTGAAATTATTTTCCAACCTATGTTGAAATATATAGGTAGTCCCTGACTTACAACAGTTCATTTAGTGATCATTCAAAGTTACAACAGCCCTGGAAAAAATGACTTACGACCGTTTTTCACTCTTTCGGCCGTTGGAACATCCCCATGGTTATGTGATCAAAATTCAAACTCTGGGAAACTGACTTACATTTATGACCATTGCAGTGTCCTGGGGTCATGTGATCACTTTTTGCTACCTTCTGATAAGCAAAGTCAATGGGAAAGCCAGATTCATTAACAGTCATGTTACTAATGTAACAACTGCAGTGATTCACATAACAACTGTGGCAAGAAAGGCCACAAAATGGAACAAAATTCAACAGAAATGTTAAGCTCAATTGTGGTAGTAAGTCGAGGACTACCTGTAATACCATATTACAATCCCATCAAACAAGCATGAGAAGTCGGCAACAAATACATTAATTTTCATTTTCAATACTCCTTTTATCTCTCTTTAATTTTTATGATTTATATTCAAGGAAGCTCTGCTTGAAAAATGTTCCCTAGAATGAACAAATAAATGAATGAATGCAGTATGTCAATATATCTTGGGTTGAGAGTTGACTTTTAACATACACTAGATCTGAAAGCCAACAAGTTTATTTCAAAACGCCAAATGTTTTGGACAAGACCGAAACAGTTTAAATAGCAAAGTCATTTAAAGAATAGTTTTCAAAAACAACACATCTACAAATTATATACAGAAGAGAAAGCAAACAGGCCTTGGCAGAGGCCAAGAGGGAAAGAGAGAAGGGCAAATGAGGGAGGAGAGGGAAGGGTAAGGGAAGGGGGGGATAGAATGGGGAAAACAGTTAGAATAAAACCATATTTTTGTGACTGTCTGTAAGAACAGTAACTGTAAAAACATATGTTGTTTTTAATGGTAAAATTAATAAAGTTTTTCATAAAGAATAGTTTTCAACCTTGTTAAATTTTCCTTCTCTGGGTTAATCTATTACAAACAGAGACTTTCATTTATAAGCCAGAAAATGGAGAGTCCCTCAGATCCTCCAGTGATTGACATTTGTCAGTGCCCTAATTTTTTTTTTTTGAAAGGAAGCCCACCTAAAACTCAATCGTTTTGATGACTCTATTTTGCTTCCTTGTCTCAAAAATTTTGTCCCCAGCTCACCCCACTTTCCCTTAGCAAATCCATAGATTGGTGTTTCTCAACTGTGGCAATTTTAAGATATGTGAACTTCAACTCCCAGAATTCCTGAGCTAGCATACCAGCTAGGGAATTCTGGGAGTTGAAGTCCACACATCTTAAAGTTGCCAACATTGAAAAGCACTTCCAGCCAGAGATGCTAGAAAAGGAGTGCTATAATCCCTGTTGGCTATCGTCTCATGACTTTCTGAACCACAAATCAGCCAACCCCTTTAGCTGTATCCTGCAAACACAACTGCTGTATCCAGGGGTGGGATTCTACTGGTTTGGACCAGTTTGGGGGAACTGGATGTTAAATTTACATCTGGTTCGCCAAACTGGTAGTTGAACCGGCCTGCCCACCCTGCCCCACCCCTCCCAGGATGTGGCCCATTTTGAATGCAGATAAGTTCAGGGTCCACACAGAGGCTCTGGGAGGGCAAAAAATGGGCCGAACCGGAAGTTCTGGAAGTCCGGAAACGGCCCTGTTTCCGGCTTCCAGAGGGCCTCCAGAGCCCAGGGGAGACCGTTTTTGCCTTCCAGAGGCCCAAGGGAAGCCTCTGGAGCCTGGGGAAGGCGAAAAACTGCCCTCCTGGAAGTTCTAGTAGGCCACACCCACCCAGCAACCAGGCAGCAAACCAGTTGCTGGGATTTTTGAATCCTGCCCCTGACTGTATCTTGATTATTTAGATTCCTGAACCAGGTCTAACACCTGTTTTCTTGGGCACTGACAATTTGCTTATGACAACCCACTAACTAGACTAATTAATGCATGATCCAATCTGTTCTTACAGGACAGTGCTATATTTACATGGACTTAAGACAGCATTGCTCTAACTTCTGAACTGAGTCAAAGAGTGTTTTGAAATAGCCAAGAGATGTATCATAATACACACAGAATTAGTAACTTGGAGGAGGAAAGAGACCTAAAAAATAGATAATAGACCAAAAACGTAATCCCTTCTTTCACCCGAGATCACTTATTCTGCAGAAAGAGAAGGTTCGGGGTAGAAGGAGAATAGATCATAAGAATACTAAATAGCTTTCATAAATGGTTGAACCATGTGACCACGTCCTGTTATTATCTCTTCAGAGGCTTAGACTGGATCAGGTTATCATTATACTGCCAAATTTGAAAAGACAGCTGTTGTTTCCTGTAACCTGGTGTGAATATAGACTCCGGGTCCCACACGTCTCCTAAGGGCCATCTGGAAATCCTAGCTTCAGGTTTCTTGTGGTTCACAAATTTCAGAAATGGGGTTTGCCACAAATCCCGTGCAAATCTTTTCCTGTTATCATTCACAGCTGCAGTTCAGAAACACACGTGGCCCAACAGATAGCTTGCATCCTTGTCATACAATTATGGAATGGGAAAATTCACAGACTAACCTTGTTGTCATTCCAGGCAGCCCTGGGCCCTGTTTCTTTTCCCAGGACCACAGCCGAGGTGGGGTATGCAACCACTCTCAGCAATGGATGTGTTGAATTACAATAATATGCCTTTCCATTAGCTGAATCATCATGTCTGATATGAGACAAATATATAGAAAATGGTTTGATTTGCAAAGAAAGGCTACTTGAGCAAGGTCAAAGGTATCCTCGCTTTTACAAAATAACTTTGATTTCCCCAGTTACTTTCTTCCAAGATTTCTGCTGCAAATAAGAATAGAATAGAATAGAATAGAATAGAATAGAATAGAATAGAATAGAATAGAATAGAATAGAATAGAATAGAATAAGAAATGAATAGAAAATAAAATATGGAATGGAATGGAGTAAAGTGGAGTGGAAATGGAATGGAAAAGAAAATATGGAATGGAATGGAATTGAAAAGAATAGAAAGGAAAAAAATTGTCAAGGTTGAGGGGGTGAACGATAAGATATCAACTCACTCGTGTAGCTTCAGTGAAGTTTTTATTCGTCTCTCACACCACAACAACAGGTAACAGTGATCAAATTATGTTTAAAGTCAGCTCTGGGTTTTGTTGCAACCCAGAGCTCTATTTATACATGTTATACTTTGGATAACAACATAATTACTATAACCACCTTCCAGCTACTTTCGCTGCCTAACATCCGGCATCCTTAAATTAAAGAAACATGGTAACTGCACCTTTCCTCTGTCAATGAGTCCATGTACCCCCATTTGTGAGTGGACTACCAGGAATTTGTCTCTGGTGCAGAAGCCGGAGTTACACAATCACATATTGTAGAATCCTGCAGAGCAGGAAAACGGTAACCTGAAAATCAGTTTGGCTTCATTTTCATTTTACTTTGAAAATCACCTTTAATATTCCTCAAAGAAACTCAGACACACGCTGGTGGGTAGAATGGTGTTCAGTCACCAAAGGCAGTATAGCTAGTTCTTGGTTTCCCAGCAGTTTATTTAGTGACCAAAGTTGCAATGGCACTCTGCCTCTGTTTATTATGGGAAAATGAGGTGCTAAAACAATTGGTTCCTATGCAATAAAAAACCCACAGATTTCATTGTTGCTTTTTAATTCCTGGGAGACCTGTTTCTTTTCCAGCAGGTGAGGGCTGTGGTGGACAGCCAAGTTTTGCATTGTTTCTCCTTCTCCTCCACTTCTCATCTTATCCCCCTTTTTCCCCTCTTTCCCTCTAGGAACCAAAAACGTAATTGAGGCCTGTGTCACACAAGGAGTCCAGTATCTGGTTTACACTAGCAGCATGGAGGTTGTAGGACCTAACATAAAAGGCCACCCTTTCTACAAGTAGGAGTTGCTTATTTTTCAATAATAATAATGATAATGACAACAACAATGACAATGATAATAATAATAGGTTTGAAAAAGGTAGGTTCATTGCAATACCTGGTGATGCACAAATTGAAGATGCTCAGCAAGAAAAAAAATCACAAAGTATTCGGACCTACAAATTGAAGTTGAGCAACTTTGGAAAAAGAAATTGTGTGGTATCCCAATTATAATTGGAGCCCTTGGAGCAATACCTAAAGGACTACCTTGCTATTTGGAAATTCTGAATTTTTCAGACTTGAATACCCCGATTCTATAAAAAACCACCCTACTAGGGACAGCTTATATCTTCCGACACTACCTTAACAATTCCTAGGTCCTTGGTTAGGACTCAAGCTATTGAGCTACCAAACAGCCCCAAAGGCTGTGAATCTCACTAAAGATTTAATAATGATGATGATGATGATGACGACAACAACAACAACAACAATAATAATAATAGGTCCCAAAACAACTGGAGCACCATTTGAACACTACTGGCATTGACATTTGCCATCAGTCAATTGCAGAAGGCAGCTTTACTTGGAACAGCTTCCATCTTGCAGCGATATCTGTAACACCACCAAATATCGAGATTTGCCTATCCCAGTCCTTGGTAAGGACTCAATAGGTTGACAAAAATGCCAAACCCAGTCTGAACATCTGGCTGACTGTGCAGATGATGATGATGATGATGATGATGATGATGATGATGATGATAATAATAATAATAATAATAATAATAATAATAATAATAATAATAATAATATAAAATGATGCACTTCATTAGGCCAAGAAACTGCGGAGTTTTTTTACAGTTTCTGTTGTCTGTAGATATTCTCAGTCATCCAGATTGTGGTTGTCCCAAAGGTGCTTTTTCAAAAGGCCACTGTTTTTTTCTTTGAGGATGTTCAGCTTCTCATCCAAGAAGCTTCTTCAGTTCTGACTGGATGGTGGGGGAATGGAAAGATTTATGTTCCTAACAGACAGCTGGTCATTTGGATTCTTTTTAGAGAGTCTTTGAGGCCACTTGAAGGCTTGTCTGTATCCTCAGGGTCACCTGAGTAGTGCAAATGGTATGGAGCCTTCTTGGTACTGTTTAAAGGATTGTCTTGTGGAGCTTTGCTTTCTTCAGGATGTTTTCCTCTGTTTTCTGCACCTCAAACTGACAACACAGACTCAACTCCAACGGTCTGTATCTGTGTCCAACAGTGAAGAAACACAGAGCAGTAGAAGAACATCCTGAAGAAATCATAGCTCCACAATACAGTCTTTTCAGCAGTACCAAGAAGGCTCCATGCCCATTTTCACTACTCAGATGACCCTGAGGACACAAACAAACTTCCAAGTGGCCTCAATTACTCCATAAAATGACCAGCTGTCTGCAAGGAGGATAAATCCTTCCACTCCCCACCATCCAATCATAGCTCAAGAAGCCTCTTGAATGAGAAATGTCTTCAAAGAAAAAACAAGAATGTCCTCTTGAAAAATACAATTTCTGTTAAAATTCTGTTCCCCTTGGGTTGGACTAATTGGCAACCAAGGTCCTTTTCAACCCTATTATTCTATGTTCTAATTTGGCCAACTTTGGAGTTTCTTATTATTTTGAGCCTTCTCACACTGTTTTAGCTATTGAAGGGCCTAAACATGCATGTTTTCTAAATAGAAGCGAACACCTAAAGAGTTAACTGAGTTTCAGTGTTGGCTGTTAGATAATAGGGAGTTCCCCTGTTTTAGGTCAGACACACATGTTTTGGCCCTATTCAAGGATTTCCCTGGGTTCTCCTAGCAATGCCATGGCAACAGGGATATAGTTACTAACAGTCACCATGGAGACAAGCCAGGAACATATTTTAAAGGCCTAGCGCTCTCTATGGGTGTGGGCCAATGGCTCTGCTCTCTCTTCTAACAAGCAAGGAAAGTTGCTTGCGGTTAGAAGCTTAGTCACCTCAAGGTTTGCCAATTAGAAAAAAAATCACTGCAGGGTCCAAGAAATCTTCAGCTTATGACCATTCAGTTACAACGGCCAGTGAAAAAAAATGACTTATGACTGTTTTTCACATTTATGGACCACTGCAGCTTGCCCCAGGGACATGTGATCAAACTTTGGACACTTGCCAACTGCTTCATATTTATGAAGGTCACAGTGTCCCGAGATCATACAATCATCACCTTTTGTGACTTTCTGACAACCAAAGCCAACGTGTATCCAGATTCACTGTACTGCCATTTTACTAACTTAACAGCTGCAGTGATTCACTTAACAACAGTGGCAAGAAAGGTTGTAAAATGGGGCCAAACTTGCTTAATAACTGTCCCGCTTAAGCAACAGAAATTTGAGGTTCAATTGTGGTCATAAGTCGAGGATTACCAGTGTAATCCTTTAACGGATGCATATAGGAAACCTATTAGATACAACCCTTTCCACCATGGGGAAGTCAAAAGAAGCTGCAAAGTTCTCCCCCCTTTTTCTTCCCCATATCATTTAAGGCAGAGGTGGTAATTCAGCAGGTTCTGACCAGTTCTGGAGAACCGGTAGCGGAAATTTTGAGTAGTTCGGAGAACCGGCAAATACCACCTCTGACTGGCCCCGCCCCATCTACATTCTGCTTCCCATTGAGTCCCAGCTGATTGACTGGGTCTTCTTTTGTTGCCCTGCATAGGAGAATGGAGCTGGAAAGCAGGTTAGTGGGGTGGGGAGGGAATGGGGATTTTGCAGTAACCTTCCCCTGCCATGCCCCCAAGCCATCAAGCCACACCCACAGAACCGGTAGTAAAAAATTTTGTATCCTACCATTGATTTAAGGGTTCAGGAGTATTGTCCTCTCCTATGTAACGCAGGGGGCAGCAGCCACTGTAGCAATTGTTCTAGATTTAAATGAACAGCGCTAAAGTGCATTTAAGACACATAACTGTTAACGGTGACCTGGTTAACTGCTCTTGGTCTCACTTGTTGCAAGCACGGGGTTTTGATTGCCTCTGTTGCTTTCTTCTTTGCTTGCAGGGGCAACGAGAACACGACCTATGAGGCCATCCACCACCATCCTTACCCACTTAGCAAGGCCAAGGCCGAGCAGCTGGCCCTCGAAGCCAATGGGCAACTGGTAAGCTAGAACTTGACAGAGGAGTTTGAATGTCTTCCGAGTTAACCAAGCCATGTGCTTCTTGGCGTCCTTCTATCTCAAACTCAGCCTGCCCCTAAGTCCGTAGTGATTTCCTTGAAACTGGCACTCTGCAAAAGATTCAGGCAGGGTGTGGTGACTGTTGATTAATCTGTGCGATGCAGGTCGAGTTATCTCCAGAGTACAAGGGTGAAGAAGGCTACCTGAAGCAGCTGTGCCTACATAGATACTTACATGGTTTATTTATTTGGCTAAGTGTGGTTAAACACACAAGGAATTTGTCTCTGGTGCAGAAGCATTTAGTGTACTTGCAAAACAACACATTATAGTAATAATGTCAGTCAATTAATCAATCAATCAATCAAAATAAATAAATAAAAAATAAATAAAATAATACTGAAGTGTACAGCCTATAAAAAGGAGAAAGTAAAAATTATAAAATGAAAAAATAATAATCTTGAAACCACACCCTATGAGTTAATATACATACACATCAGGCAAAAAACAAACAAACACTTAGTCATTCTATTTTATCAGCTGCGAGAATTAGATGTTCAGCAGAATGGAAGAAAGTGTCTAGTTGTCTTGGCGTACAATGCTGTATAGTGTTGTTACACTGCCTTCTCTGTGTTCTTCCCCCCCCCCCCATCATTTTGTGGGCTTTGAATCCTAGGCTGCTTCATCCAACGCTGTTGTCTTGACTAGACAGACAATGGTATATCATGGTGAAGGAAGACCCAGATTCAAATCCTTCCTCAATGATGGGTGACTCTGGGCCATGTATGGTCTGTCCAGTCTACCTCCTTGAGTTGTGGTTAGTGGAGTCTGCTTTCAGCCATGAAAGTTCACTGGAGAAGTGACTTTGGGCCCCCAACCTATCTCACATGCTTGTTGTTAGGTGAAACCAGGAGGAAAAATATCCCTTGTCTGAATCTCCAGGGAAACTTGGGATGACAGTCCAGCAACCCAACCTAAATAAAGACTTTGCCACCAATTTCTAACTTGTCTCGATGGTGGATTGTCCACCCACAACATATTCAGATGTGCCAATCAGCAACTGCAAATCTTTTTTTTCTGCAGATGCCCAATGGGAAGCGATTAGTCACTTGTGCCCTTCGTCCAACGGGCATCTATGGGGAGAACCATCTGCTGATGAAGGAGTTTTATGAGAAAGGGCTGATGACAAAGAAGTACATGATCCGGGCCATCCCATCCTCTGTGGAGCATGGCAGGGTCTATGTAGGTAAGTTAGAAGGGTGCCTGGTGCATTCTTGACCCACCTTCTTTTATTTAGATACTTTTACTCTTCTTGAGCATTTTCCTGCATGTACATACTTCTTTATATCAGGTTCTGAATTTCTTAAGAACTGTGGAGTCCTCAATGCCCTCTGAACTTGGTTGTTTACTTGTAGATATTTCATTACTGGACTAGGTAATGTCATCAGTGCCATGGAAATTGGGGTTTGCTCCCTGTTTATAGACAGTAGCTTCCCCTGCCTTTGTTGGTAGGTGTGGTTTGGTTTTTGTTTCCTGGGTAGTTCCTTGATTAGGGTATTGTTTTCTACTTTATTGTTTGTCACATGATGCACCTCCACTAACACCAGCAGGGCAAACTCCTATAAATAAACAAGGAGCAAACACTGTACTCCTTCACAATGATGATATTATCTAACCAGGTAATGAAATGTCTGAAAGCAAGTAACCAAGCTCAGAGAGCACCAGGAACCCCACAGTTCAACCCTAAGCTGCAGATATTCTCTTTCATGAGGACTTCTTAAGAACCATTGCCCTACTCTCTGCTGTCAAGTACATCTCTGAATTACCATTTGGTAATCATAGCCCTTGGATATAAATTTCAGACCCAAGAAATAAGCCTGATGTGAATTCATACTAATTTGACACGTTGTTCAGGGCAGGATCTCAAAGTTTGGGATCCTTTTTTCCCTTAGAGGGAATAAAAACAATGTTTAGATTATTTAGGTTAGATGAAAAACAAATGCCCGCCTTAATATTTCTCACAGCATTTATCAAACATTCTGAGCCAGTAGCCACCCTCCTTTTGCAAGAAAAATAAAGGAGCAAAGCTTGCAGTGAGTCTTGACATTGTTTGCATTTTGTCTGAGTAAGCCTGATCAGATTTCAGGTTTTTTTTAAGTGTGTAGCCCCCACAAGTTACTTATGACTCCCTCAAGGATTTGGGCAGGAAACTTGAAAAGCCCTTTTGTAAGAAAAAAAAAAAACTTTTTTAAAAAAGAAAACAACTTCCATTTAGCTGCTGGATTTATTTGCTATCTCTATTACAGTATAAGTAAAAGCAAGACCTAACCCATTCCCTAAAATCTCCATCCCCAATATGAACTGGGAAATTAATAACAGAGTTGAAAGGGGCCTTGGAGGTCCAACCCCCTGTTCAAACAGGAGACCCTAGACCACTCCAGACAAATGGTTGTCCAGTTTCTTCTTAAAAGCCTTCAGTGTTGGATCACCCACAACTTCTGCAGGCAAGTCATTCCACGGATTAATTGTTCTAAATTTCTCAAACAATAGACATGCCTGTACACACATGGGCACACGCACACACAAACACAATCCCTGTTTCAATGTCTTGTGTGATCAGATCTTGTGTTAAGACTTTTAATTTACAGAAGATAGGAAGCACTATTTTTAAAAACACGTTTGAGATCTTATCCCTGCTGTGTTAGGTTGATAAACAGTGCTACGTTATTGAATCTCCATATTATTCCACATTTTCACAAAAGTGGCATCGGCTAGTGAAACGTCCCTCACTTGATTATCTTTTTGGTCTCCTAACTTGCTCCTTCTGTAGGCAATGTGGCTTGGATGCATGTCCTGGTTTCTCAGAAGATTCAAGAGGACCCCTCAACCATTGGGGGCCAAGTTTATTTTTGCTATGATGACTCTCCGTACAAGAGCTACGAGGACTTTAACATGGAGTTCTTGAGCCCGTGTGGCTTCCGCCTCTTGGGGTCACACCCACTGCTGCCGTTCTTTCTCCTCCATCTGATAGCTCTGCTCAATGCTATCCTGCAGTGGCTCCTAAAGCCCTTCTGTGTGTATGCCCCCATCCTCAACCCCTACACCCTGGTGATTGCCAGCACTACCTTCACTATAAAAACCGACAAGGCCCTGAAGCACTTCGGATACAAACCCTGCTTCACTTGGGAGGAAAGCAAGAATCGCACAATCAGGTGGCTCCAAGAGGTCGCAGCAGAAAAGCAGATGGAGAAGTAGGCCCCGCAAGACAGGTCAACACGAAAGGGGAAATCGCTCTGGAGGAATCAGAGTTGGGGAATGGAAAGCTCCTGGATTTCAGCTGTGCTAAACTCAGGACATTTGCAATATTAACCTATGGCCTTATGTTGACTGGTTTGAGACGGTGATGTTATATATTTGTACAGTAACTACCTTTGTCTTAGATGACCTTTGGAAGTAGGCCTATAGTTTTGCAGGAATGGGTAAACCCTCTGTTTCCCAAGCAGAAATGTCAAATACCAAAGAAATACGTTTTAGATTTTGGCTGAGTGCATCAGTATCTCATTCTCAACTCGACAAGGGCTTTTTTCTTCCAGCCAAAGTCCCAAACTCTTTTCAAAATTACTTTTGATGACGGTCTTCAATATTTCTATCATGTCATACATTCCAATCTGCTCAGTTGAATTTCTTCTATCTGAGTGTGTTTATCCATCTGCCTGCATTGATTTAGCATGCTTCAAAGATTATCCAGAAGGCAGCAAGGTCCAGTTCATCTTCTACCATTCCTTATCTTTGGAAGATGGATTGTTGATCTATTGCATGTCACTACAGACCAGTTCCATGTTTTTCTTCCTACCTCAATGACCTTTAAGTGCAATAAGGATCGAGGTTCATGTTTTTGATATCATCTCTAACCAGTCCCTAATGATCCGAGTAAGCAGATATACTCTTAAGTGTGAAAGGAGATTAGGATGCTATCCTATGATTTTTCTAGCCACAATTATCTTACATGACATGTGCAATAGAAATGTATGACTGGAAAGCCTCCTTGATGGCCAACGATTAAGTTAAGCAAGCAAATAAATATATTATATTCTCATGAGAGCTGCAATTATCTTTTATGAAGTCTGTGAGAAGTTTAAAAACTAAGGAAGAGAGATATAATGGATCAAGCGAAAGAGCCTGAAGGGACATATCTAGGGGTGGGATTCTACCGGTTTGGACCGGTTCTATAGAACCGATTGTTATGATCCTGCACAGTTCAGAGAACCGGCAAATCATGTCCCTGGCTGGCCCCGCTGCTGTCTGCCTGCCCCTCCCTGTCCAGTCAGTCCTTATCGTGCATGTGCAATATCGCATGCATGCCCAACATCGTTGACTGCGTTCTTTCCTGCCCAGTCACTCTTTAAGATATTTTTCCCCCTCCCAACAATCAGCTGTTCCAATGATCAGCTGTTCCGGGATCCCCCTCGCTGTCTTACTGCTTCACCCAGGAGGTTTCCCTGAGGCCCAAAAGACCCCAAAATGAGGAGGGGTGTGCTGCAAAAAAAGAAGTCATGCCCACCCAGTCATATGGCCATGCCCATGCCTACCTAGCCATGCCCATAGAACCGGTGGTTAAAAAATTTGAATCCCACCCCTGGACGTATGTGTGTGGGACATGCTGGAAGCAGTGGATGATGGGAATTAGTGGCCTTGAGTAAAATCTGTTGCTGTATAACCAATAGTGTTATGTAGGCCCTTCACACAGATGCTTTTTCAAGAGGTAACTGGACTTTCTGGTTTTTCTTTGAAGACGTTTCACTTCTCATCCAAGGAGCTTCTTCAGCTCTGACTAGCAGTCAGAGCTTCTTCAGCAGTCAGAGCTGAAGAAGCTTCTTGGATAAAGAAGCAAAATATCTTCAAAGAAAATCCAATTTCCTCTTGAAAAGAACACCTTTGGGGCTTCACTTAGAAATTTATTTATTTTGTTGAAGATTGGGTGCTGTAAAAGTTTTTTTTTTAACCATGTATATCATCTACAGTTATTTTCAGCTTTGTTGCATAACAATGAATTTCTCTGTTTTTGACTTCTGTCTATTAAGAAAGCTACATGTTTCCATGCGGATATCTATGTATGGGTATTTTAAAAAAACAGCAAGGCAACTGCAGCATTGCTCATCTTTTCACTTTATACCTTTTATGATAGAGCCCTGGATGCAACCTGAGATTATCCCTGGTGCCGAACACAGGTCCTGTTCCCCTCCACAGTCCCTTAAGACTCTGAGGCATAGAGTTGTTTTGTTGATTAAACAAGCCAAGTTTGTTAAAACTGTGGTTTGCTGACTGTATTCACATGTCAGCTGCACTTGCTTCTTAAGCAGCTTCAGTAAAGCACAGGAACAGAATGACTTAGTTTATGATTGACCTTAGTCAGTATCTAAATACAACCTTCAGATTGTAACTACATCCCCTAATTTCCTCCTCCTTTTAAAGCAAGTTGCCTGATACAAAGTTCTAGAGCACTTTATTCAATTTCAATAGCTGCCCATCTTAATGAAGGAATCTGGGCTTACAGATCAAATTTCATGCTTGCGTGTTACTTTGCCCTTTGCCCTTTCGATCTTGCATATGATTATCCAGCTCTTAGCAAGCTCCTAGTTGCATCTGCGCAGCTCCCCTTCTAGACCTCAACTGGGCACTGAAGTGAGAAGTTCCTTTTATAACTCCCAAGAACCAGACAGGCCCAAGACCTAAAGGAGCTTCCATCTTTTGACAAATGTTACACGTTTGGCCAAAGCAACTTCATTTGAACTTTTCTTGAATATGGGAGGATGGCCAGCAACATGCCATCAGGGATAATTTAACAAACAGGTGAATGACAGGTGAAAAGAAAAATCTTTGGAGAAAGGGAAAACAGTGACCAAAGCTAAGCAGATGCTAAGATTCTACACTGATGGGTGGAACTGGGAACCAATTCACATCCGATCAAATCAGAAAGGGCCCAGCTGACAGCAACCAAGTGTAGCAATCCACACTTTACTCGCCAATCAGGGGTGTGGCCCACTCATGGCTCACAGGCTGGATGCATCGCGTGCTGGCCCCGCCCCCGCCCGGTTTAGCAAAGGGAAAAAAAGGGCCCGATACGTCACATGACACTTCCATGGTGATGCGAGTTTGACAGTCCTGATCTAGATCAAAATGCTCCAAGTCACAATGAAATTGTGGTGAAGGCTGCTGCCCAAGGATCAAATGAGCTGTGCAGGTGTTTGACGGAAGATCCCATTGCCTGAACTTCACCTGTCCTAGGTAGTAGCTCTTCAAAACCGCTAGGATGTTTATTTTTGTGTAGGACACATGGACTTGCAATATATATTAACATTTTGCCTAGATCAAAAGCACAATAAAATATGAATGTTTAAAAAAAGATCTATATTCAGACGTCAACCATCTAACCATTGAAGTGCAGCGTCGTTTATACAAAAGAAAACAGTTTACTGGATTGGTAATTTATCCTCAGCTTACATCCAGTCACGGTGTGATTTACAGTTGGACGTGGAATCCCACAGTCACACTAAGGGGAGGATACTATGTACCCCATTTATACGGAGACTGTCTGTTGTAATTCAAAGCCTGGCACCTTTTTCATGGAGTCATTTATATGGCTGGATATTCACCAACCTGCTTGGCTGAGCAGATATTACACAAGTGACAGTGGGGGCTTCCTAGATTTGAGCTTCCGGCTGATAAATGAGAAAGGTTGGCATATACCAGGTGGAGGGATAGCACTGTGGGATGGTAAACAAGTTAAACAGGCGGTCCTCAACTTGCGACCACAACTGAGCCCGAAATTTATGTTGCTAAGGGAGATGTTTGTGAAGTGAGCTTTTATCCCATTTTACGACCTTTTCCCGCCACAGTCGTTAAGTGAATCAGTACAATTGTTAAGTTAGTAGCCTGTTCAGAGAGTGTGGCCTCCCCATCGACTCTGCTTGCTGGAAGGTCACAAAGAAAGAGACTCCCACGATCCCAGGACACTGCAAACTAAGGTCATAAATACAAGTCAGTTGCCAAGGGTCCGAATTCTGATCATATGCCCACGGAGATGCTGCAAAGATCATAAGTGCAAAAAATGGTCATAAATCATAAATCACTTTTTTAGTGATGTTGTAACTTTGAATGGTCACTAAATGAACGGTTGTATGTCAAGGAGTACCTGTACAAGTCAGCAAAATCTTCCTTGGCCTTTTTTTTTTAAATGGGCTTTGAATAAAACTATGGTGTTTAATTGCTTCTTAGTCCCAGAGGTTTGTACTGTTCCAGGTATAAAAGCAGGCTATTTTTCTGCCTCTCAGCCACTCCTATATTGACAAGATTGTTAAGAGGTGGGGGGGGGGGGAAAGGGCCATCTCCTTGGAGCTGCATTCCTGTGCAACAATAAGCAAAAAGAGATCGGGGCATATATTCTCCAGCTCCGTGCCAGCTGACTCAGACAAGCTTGTCAAAACCCTTCAAAACAGTAAGCTCCAAGGAACAACCCAAAGGTAAATTATGTTTAAGGAAGATTGATCAGCAACAAAGTTTGGGAATTAAACTAGGCTGATAATCCGCAAAGAACCTGTGGACAAAATGAAGAAAATCCAGCAAAAGAGGGTTTGTTTGTTTTTTTAAAATAAATCTGGGGTTTCAGCTTAAAGCGGGAGAAAAAGGTTCTTAGCTAGTGGAGTTGTGTGAACAGCCAGCAAATAACAAAACAGAATTCTTTATTGGCCAAGTGTGATTGGAAACACAAGGGATTTATCTCCAATGCGTAAGCTCTTGATTGTACATACAGACAACAAGGTAATATAATCAGTGTACATGCATACATACAGACAAACAAACATCATGTACATAATGAAGGATTTGTTCTATCATAATACATCCGTAAGTGTTGGATACACTTTATAGGCACTGATGTATATCTGTAACACCAAAGGTCAACCTTTGCAGCAGTTTTCTCAATCTCAGGGACTTTAAGATGTGTGGACTTCAGCACTAGAACAGAACAGAATAACAGAATTGGAAGGGGCCTTGGAGGTCTTCTAGTCCAACCCCCAGCTGAGGCAGGAAATCCTACACCACTTCAGACAAATGGTTGTTCAATCTCTTCTTAAAAACTTCCAGTGTTGGAGCATTCACAGCTTCTGGAGGCAAGTTGTTCCACTGATTAATTGTTCTAACTGTCAGGAAATGTTTCCTTATTTCTAGATTGTTTCTTTCCTTGATTAATTTCCATCCATTGCTTCTTGTCCTGCTCTTGAAGGCAGAACAAAAAGCCATGGATGAAAACTAATCAGAGAGAAACCCAACCTAGAACTAAAAAAAATCCTGATAGTGAGAACAATCAGTGGGATGGCTTGCCTTCAGAAGTTGTGGGTGCTTCAACACTGGAGGCTTTCAAGAAGGGACTGGACAATCATTTATCTGAAATGACAATGGGTTTCCTGCTTGAACCAGGGGTTGGTCTAGAAGACCTCCAAAGTCCCTTCCAACTCTGTTATTCTGTTACTCTGGGTCAATCTCTGTTTGTCCTGCCCTGGCTATCTCATATACATTACACTGCCTTGAACCTGTAAATAAAAAGGAGATAAAAATCAAAGGCACCAATAAATCCCTACATCACTGCTAGGTTAGTTGCGAAAGAAGCAAGCAAGCATTCTAATATTTGGTGAACCTTTAGAACTTGAAAGTGTCTGTGGGCTTGGTCTCTCTTTGCCCTATGAGTCACAGGGGGGAGTATTGCAAAATAAAAATATACCTGACCACAAACAATACACAATTAGGGGGCAGTTCCTGCAATAGCCGCCAAAAGCCTGTCTGAGCAGTTCTAGGAATAATAATTTTGTAAGAATTAGGAGAAAGAAGAAGCCAGAATTCTTTCTGGATTTACAGAGGCGAAAAGGCCTCCAAGCCAAAATCTCAGAATTTGCTGCCTGCTGGGTTTAAATAAACTCTGCGTTTGTTTACCAGTTGCCTTAACCCATTATTTGTGCGGAGTTTCCATAAATCAGGACATAACCACACCTGCTAGGTTCAAAGGTGATGGGTTAGTGTTAATGTTTGCACAACACCTCAAAG